AATTTATACATGGAGTAGCTGTCATTCCTTGGGCCAAAAAGGCCAAGCAGTCTTTGTTGAAGTAGGCACCTCTGGTTTGCTGACCAATTTGCTGCTCAGCTTAATGAACCAGGATCTGCCTGATTTGATTTTGCCAGTGTTTAGCAGCCTAATACGTCTGCCTGAAATATTTACACATTAGGTAGTCGAGATGTAGTTCAGCCAAAGGCTCTCTGGGAGAGTGGGATGGAAAGGCCCCAAATTAAATTTGCCTCAAGCTACTGTGGCAGCTCGTGTAGACAGAGATGAATTTTGAATTGAAGAAAGCCAAAGTGATTTTGTTTAACCATTTTCCTCACTTTTAAATAAGCTGGCATGTAATATCACAATTTGTTTTGGTTTTCCTCAATGAAAATTCTGAAGTCCTTAACTGCTGAGCAGGAAGTTTTATGGAGGTTATTTGGAGGTTAAAAAAGCCCCAAATCTCACTGTTCCTAATGTCTTTTAACCACCATGCATTCAGCCCTAAGAAAAAATACGTATTATAGTTTTACAGTCAGCATCATTATTCTGCTTCCTTCTGATCTTAATGTTATTTTGGCTACTCAGCTGGGGTAAAAATGGTAGTAAAATCAGCCATACACATCTCAGTTAAATGTGAGTATTATCTGTAATTGAGAGGGATATTTGATAATGTATAATGTGTGAGATAGGGCTGGGACAATGTATATTATTTATTGAGATTCCTTGCATATCCCAGACTTTTGGCATTGTGGGAATTATTATGAAACACAAAAAAATGGAGATTATCTGCATGCTTTGTAATAAACATGGACGGGGAAAATCCCTTACATTTCTCATTACATTTGGATAGGCTGTGCTTTTTTTTGCTAAGGTCCTGTTTCCTTTGATGCCTATTCAGCATTGTCTCGTTTAATGAGATAACTTCTTCAGTGCACGTTCTCTATCACTTATTTAACAGGGTATCTGTTTTCTGTGTTGTCTTTTAAATCAGAAAGCAGTTTAATTGTTCAGTTTGGGTGGAGCTGTGAAATGGGGACGGGATGTACCCTTGGGTTGTGTTTCTTTCTGAGGCTGCTCGGATTTCGGCAAGGGATTGTTATATCCAAATTCAGGTTTGCTTGGATCTCAGTGAAGGGAAATCTCCTTTGAATTTTTTTTCCTTTCATATTTTTATGCACTTACACAGCCAAATACACGAAGTGCAACCCTGTTCTGTGAGATAGATGAAAAGCTGTGCTGGAGTCAGCTGTGCCCCGACTGCTCTCAGATTTGTTGTTTGAAAGGGGGTTACATCCTGAAGTACCTCGTTCTGTTGAATATTAGTGAGCCAATACAGTGAATTTGGATCACTAAAGTTGACTGAAGATACATTATCTGTCTCGTGTGCTGAGTCTGGTAAATAGCTGGTTCCTGTGGGAAGCACCTAAAAAGGTAGAGGGTCTTTGGTAGCACATAAATTCTTTAAACAAAGCTCGATCACACCAAACTCTAACATCAGTCTTCGAAGAAGGATAAAAGAGAAGGAAGAGATTCAGACAGCTTTTTCCTTTTGTAAACTCGCTGCTTTATAGGGGAAAAAATAGCTGGAAATAGTCTGTCTAGTCCCAAATGAAAGGTTGTGGATTAAGGCACTGCATTAGTGAAACAGCTGCACCAATGTGAAACAGAAAGTCCTCCAGCTTCAGCCATTATGGGTTTGTTTGGTTAGCTCTAATTTTGGAAGTCATTATAGCAAAGGTAAATGACTTGCACAGGAGACTACTGTAAACAAAAGACTCGATAGATTTACTTTGGCAGGAGCCTTGAGGAGTCTCGGGCCTTTCAGTGCCTCCTTTATGCAGCTCCTGTCCTGCTCTCACTGCAAGCCTGTGTGCAGGCAGCTCTCCTTCCCTCCTTCCCTCCTTCTCTCCTTCCCTCCTTCCCTCCTTCCCTCCCTGCCCTCCCACAGCTTCTTTGCCCCTGGCAGGTCGGATTTAAGGGTGGCAGCACCTGCTGCTGAATTGCTGGTGTGTAGCTGTAGAATACCTTTATGTTCAGGGTAACTGCCCCTGGGTTTCTAAAGCTGCTCTGTTTTGCTCAGGTAAGAATCTGCTCCCTCCCAGTCTAGTACTGGAATACAATCTGTGTCAAAAACTTCACTTTTAATTGTGTCTCCTTATTGGTTGCTTTTTGTGTTTTCTTATCATTTAATAGCTTTACACTTACAGATTCTAAGCATGCTGTTGCTTAGCTGAGTTTTCTAGCTTTTTGGTGAAGATTGAACTATGAGAATGATAATTCCCTTCCCAGGTCTGTGCCCATGTGGTTGAGTGAAGTCTCTGTCTATTCCACACTTGTGTAAGTGGGAAGGCAAATTCTTGATGACAGAAAGAGTGCCCATGCAGAGCCTGCTCCTTCCCTTCCACAGAGCTCCCTGGGAACATCTCCTGTGGGCCTGGCAGAGCTTTCCCTGATCTGTAGAGCTGGGAGGGTGAAGGAGAGGGGCAGAGTGAGAATCCTCTCCTTGAGCACTCAGTCTCTCTGTCCTGCACTCCCTGGCTGCTGGGAGCTCCCCTTTGCAGTCCCTGCCATGGGTGACTTCTGACTGCTCTGCCTTCCCAGGTGCTGGCAAGTGTTTTCAGTCAAGGAATATTTGTCCAGGCATTCTTTGACTTCTAAAACATATGGGCCAGACTACTGTTAATTATTTTATTTAAAATACAAGCTGATTATGCTGCTTCTACAAATGACAAGAAGCCCATCCCTGCATGTCCTCACACACTTTATGCCCATGGGGGTGATAGTGCTGCTGGTCATTCTGATAAATAACCAGTAGCAAAGGAATTATAGGGTCATTTTCTTGTGCTGCTGTAGAGGAGAGGATTATCTTTATCTCTGAAATTGTTCCCTTACTGCTTATTAACTAGAAATACAAAAAGTAATTGAAAATAAAGTAATACAGAAAGTAATTGAGAAGCTGGTGGGAAAAGATTTGGTCTGATAGCAGCCCTGATCTCTAAAATGGAATATAACTACATAATGATTACACTCTAAAGTGTTTGACTGGTATGAACTAGCCAACCATGGAATGGCATGCCTGGAAAGAGGTTTTATTTCAGATTAATTTCATCTCATGCTGTATATACAGCATGGTTGTGCTTTCAGATCAGCAACTGATTCTGAAGAAAAAGATGTGGCTTTATCTGCATGAACTCTTTTGAACTTCCTTCTACCTGCAGGGTCTTTGAATGTCAGGAGAAGTAGACAGCTTTGGTATTTTTCTCCAATGTCTTAAAAAACCAGAAATGTTAATACAAAAATCTCTTAAAAAGAAAAATATTCTGCACTTCAGCTTACTGGGGAAAACTACAAAAGATTCATCTCTTGAAAAAGCCAGGACAGTGTTTTGACTTTACAATAAGTTAGTAATAAAATGCAGAAATAATAAAATACAGAATTTTTTTTCCTGTGGGGAGATGACTTAATGTCCTCATGTCCTTCTCTATAAAGTTAATGATGAGGTTTGCTTACTGCCCCCAATATTGAATATAAACCCAATGTCAAGTGAAACAGTTTTGGCTGCACAGATTTGTTTTAAATTTCCAGTGTGAGGTTCAGCCTGGAATTTCAGGGGCAGTGATGTGTGGCTGTCAATAGAACAGAAACTCTTGGAGAAATGAGCAACTGTGAAGTTGTGTGTGCTGATCTCAAAATACTCCATACACTGCATCCATCAGGAAGTGGACAGAAGGAGAATGTAACTTCTAAAAATTAAGAGCCAAAATAATTTACAGCAAAGATCTAAGTGATATCTAAAACTGAAGATCTGTGAATTTAATATCATAACCTTTTCATCAAACAGTGAGGTTGTATAACTGCATTTTTAGAAATTTATGCTCATGGGAATTAGTGTATTCCTGATATTTTATGATATGCTATTCCTCTTAATTAATGTCTATTGTGGAGGATATTTTATGTCCTTTCTACATATCAGAACATGCTTCAGGTATAACATTCTCAATAAAATTGACTGAAAATAGTATTTTTTTATTTTAAAGTGTTTTGCCAACTCTGCCCAGATTTGTTGAATTTAGTAAACACTCCAGGTAGGTACTAAAAGCCCTGGCATTACAGAGAGGTCTGTGGGAATTCCCACTGAGCTTTCTGCCTCTCCCACCCAAACCTTTGGATGAATCTGGAAGTGTGTGCAGTCCCAGGAGCTCAGTCTCACTGCTCCAGCTGTGGGAGGCTGAGAGGAGGCTCTGGAGGGTGTCCCTAAATTCTGGTACTTGAAAGAATCTAACTTGTTCTTCTAAGCTCAGGCAAAATTGGGTGTGTGTTATGGCAGGACCTGCCCCTGGGCTCCCTGTGACAAGGCAGGGAGGGCAGGGTTGTGTTCTTGTTTTCTTCATACTGCACAGGCCAGAGAAAGCTCAGAAAGGGATTATTTAAGTCTGTGAGGAAATACAGCTGCAACTGGAGGAATTTGCTGTTTAAGCCAGTTTCTTTTGCAGAGTTTCTGTTGCTATAGCCACCTTGTTCCTAGTAGAACTGCTGGAAAGGATGGAAACGGGAAAATAAATTGGCCAGTTCCTTGTGCAACAGGTGCAGTGTTCATTTGTGAGCACGGAGTGAGCTGAATCTCCTTCCGTGCCCAGAGAATGCCTGCAGGCAGCACCTTCCACGAGAACCTGGGATTTCTGCATTTCCTATCTCCTGGAGAGATGCCAAGCAGAATTTAATTGCTTGTGGTGAAATCTTTCTCTGTGGCTAGATAGGATATTGAATGCTTTTGAACTTCTAAATTGCCATGGGACGGCCTGATCTGGCACGGTTGTGTTTAATCTGCAGACAGATAATGAAAGATACTTCATCACACAGAGTTCTTTGATGCACTTCTTTGTTTTATAGATATGAGGCTTAACTGGAGGGAGAGGAAGGGAGCTCTTGCAATAACACACATTTGTTTTTCTGTTTGGTAAATTGACAGGTGTTTGGTTTGTCTTGTGTCTGCCCAGGAAACCACGTCTTGTCTCCTGGAGAGGCTCTTGGGAAAGGTCTGACACCAGATGCTGCAAAAGATCTCGGTCTCCCCGAAGGGATTGCAGTGGCAGCATCTCTCATTGATGCACATGCTGGAGGACTAGGTACTCACTCGTGGATTTACTGTTCTTGGAGACAGGAATTGTTTGAATTAATTTCAGAAAGCCGTTTTTGTCACAGATTGTTTTTATCCTGCCATTTGCTCTGATGCTGTTCTTAAAACAATCTCCCAAATCATCACAATAACTACTAGTACTGCAAATCTGTTTCTAGAAAGGGCATATTTCACTGTTACATGTCTTTTCAGCTGGATTTGCAAATCGTTTGTTAATTTCTGCCAGTCCCACTTTTTACCAAAACACCGTGGTGTTGGAATGCCAACATGCTGAGAGTTTGCATCTTCTGTTGCTCAAAACTTTGGGGATAGGCAAGAAAAAAACAAAACAACAACCATTCTGAGGGAGAAGCCTCATGTTTGAAGCTTGTTCATAGTTAGGATTCTTACTAGCTTTTGAAGTGATTAATGGTTGAAAGCTTTAAGGTTTGATGCTTTGACTTTTTTCCTTTTCCAGCACAATATTCTGATGTTCAGCCCGGTTCATCTTTTCTGAAATACATTTGATGAGGCACAAGAAGTTCATTTTCTCACTATGCTGTTTGGTCTTATCCAAATACAGTCAATAAAGAAGATATTCAGTGTAACGTTTTCAGCAGGAAATTGAGGTTTTTTTAGTTTGCTGGTTTAGAAAACAGTCTTACCTCAGGAAGTTTCAGTGTTATTGAAACAGTACTCTTTAATAGAAACCTATTTCTCATCAGAGAATTTTTTTTCTAGAGCTCTCTGAAACATGATTAGGTGTTAAACTACCAGTTTTGTTGCAAATGTTTTGTGCTGTTTTAAATCTCATTTGTCCTTCTAGAAACTGTGGCCTGGAACTTTTTTAGTGTTTAAATCCCTTTACTTTTGCTTTTGGTGAGGTTAAGTAATCATGGAGATTGCTTTTCTTTCTACCTGGAAAGGATTAGACGTAGATCTGTCTGCAAAGAGGAAGACTGAGCTTCAGTCATATTTGTAGGTGTGTTGTGACAGACTTAAAAATACCTGTCAGTGTCCTAATTGCATAAAAACGTGTTTAAAATTGTGTGCCCTGGCAATTCTGTGTTCTTGGAAAAGAATGTAGTAATAATCTGACCTGAAAGAATGAACTTGCTGCAAAACTGGGTTGTCACAGGGCATGTGAAAGTGTTTAATTGGCATCATTATGGATCCAGAGCACAAAAAGTTTGCCCATTTTTTCATGTCCTAAAATCAATCAGTTGAATTTTAAAAAGAATAGAGAGCAACTGTTTGTTCCTTGATACAGACTTCTGTAAAGAAACTCTGACATTAGAAACACTTGGCTACTGGCATCCCTCAGGAAAGGGCTCCAGTGGATAGAGACAGTCTGCTAATCTGAATATGTTTTCCCAGATGGCACCACAAACACCAGCAGACTCCTGAAATGATTTCCAGGAGGGGAAAAACAACACACAGGTTGTTGTTAGAGAGAGGGGGGCATTACAGAGGGAAGAGTTGGGAGGATGGTGGGAGAACCTGCATGATAATCACACCATAGCTCAGTGCAGTCTGGGACCAGAGGAGGATTTACAGTGGAACTCGTCCTTGAATCTGGGAAGGGTAATAAATGTGTTGGAAATGGTGTGGAAACTTAGTAGAAAGGACAGCAAAAAATGAAAAGATTTTGATAGCAAAAGTGACAGCAGGAGCAAAAGGAGAGTCGAAGAGTGCAGATGTAAAGAAAATATCCTGCAGGCTAAACCAGAGTGGTGGACATCTTGTTTGCAATGTCAGTAACTTTTGATGCAGTTCAGATCTGCTTTTGGCTGGATGTGAAGTGTGGTTTGGCTGAGCAGGTTCCTGGAGTTCATGAAGGCTTCAAAGCTTTGAGTACAATAAGGTAAAGAATTGTTTAGTGTGTGTGTTTGAGGAGGTCATGTGTGACTCCTGAATCAGCCCATCTGATACCTCTTATGGAAAAGGGAGGATCTAAGAGCCAAGAAGTTATATCTTGCATTTTGACCTACTGTACTAATTTCAGAGAGTGTACAGATAAAACTATGAGGATAGGAGGCCAGGCTCGTGGGACTGGCCTCATAAAAACACTGTTTACATTGCACCTTTTCAAAAGGCATCAGCATTGTTTCAACAAAAGTAGATGATTTATGGTGCAGTGTCTAAAATACCATGTCACTGTGGAAGAGATCCAGAAGTACACATTGCTAAGCACTGCTTGCCTTCCTAAAAACCTCTCCTCTGTTCTGTTTGGTGCACAGACTTCTTGTTCTCAGCCTCTGCTTTTGAGTCTGCCTCAGACTATGAAAAATTCCACCTAAGCTAAAGGTGAAAGTGACTTGTAACAGCAATTATATAACTTTTAGCCAATATTCCAGACTTACTTGCTGTCTGACTTTAATTAATCACAATTAGGAAGACTCTAACAATTCTAAACACTGGTGAAGCCACTGACTAAAATTCCAAAAAGGGCCATAATTCCTGTTTTGCAGAATGTGTATTTTCTTAGCAATTAAAAAGATGTTTTCAGTTTTATATTGTTTATGAAAATACATTTGCAGCACATGCTGACTATTTAGTTTAATAGATTTCTTCCCTCTCAAGTGTGAACAGTATTTTTAACTCAAGAAATTCTAATACAGTCTTGCTTAGTACAGGAATTTGCCTTGTAGACAACCCTATCCAAAATTCCTCATATGCCTTCATCATGTTGGAGCAGTGAAAAAATAAAGCATAAAGTAGAAGACTTACTTTCAGCTTTTTGTTGTTCCTAGCTCTCTTTATGACAGCTGTGCCACTTCATAGTTACAAGTCAGTTTAGTTAAAGGGACACGAGGCTGGATTTTTTTAAGACTTTAAAAATTTAGCCCTTAAATTTCTCATTATTTTGGTGACTTCCAACCATGGTAATACCAAGATAACCATGGTGATCCCAGTAAGACAAACCCCACCAGACTGATTTGATTACAGAGCATTGCAGTGGTGATCTAAACAAGGGGGTGTTAATGAAATGTAGGGTATGAACCAGCCCTAACACTTGGTACCTTTCACAATGTCCAGCAAATGTTTTCCTGATCCTTCTACAGGGAGGGGAAGGGGATTTTTTGTATCAGTATTGACATGCTGTTCTCCAAATTGAGCTTTGCAGATGCAAATGCACAGTCTGGTGACCAGTTTGCCAGCTGAAAAGCGATGTTTAAAGAAAAAAAGGAAAAAAAAAGTCCAATGTGAAAATGTTACTTGTTGGCTGCTGCATTTTGCTGGGTGCAGCACACCATGGTGCCAGGATGCAGCCTGGGAGAGGAGGAGGAGGAGGAGGAGGAGAGGGCAGATTCCCTCTGGAGCCTCCCCTGAAGTGAATCAAGCAGGATGGGATGTGTTCTGAGGCTCATTGCCTGGCTCCTCCCTAGCATCTCCTGGGTGTATTTTCTGCTGCAGGCTGAGTGCTGCTGACTTTGTGCTCCATCCTGTGCTGTCCTGCACGCAGAGGCTCCTCAGAGCCAAGCTCAGTTCCTCCAAGGGCAGGAATAATCTGCCTTTAGATGGTTCTGACATGGACAGAACAGCAGCAGCAGTGAAGACAACAAAGCTGGCAGCCTTCCAGTCTCCTGCCAAGTTACCCCTTTCTCCAACTCATCCCCTGACAAAACACATCATCCAGGATGTTCATGATAAACTGTGAACAAATAAACACATCTGCAGCCTGCCAGTACAGCAGGGCACTTTTATTCTGCATGTCAGTGAGCTACCTAAGAGAATAAATGTCAGGTAAAATAACACTTTCTAGGTAAAATAACACTTAGAAATCATGATGATAGGCGTACATTTAGAAGAAATCATCTTGGGTCCTTATATCTAGAATAAATACTTTAATCTGATGGATAAAATTATTTCCTTTCTTGGCTAAGGAGCCTTCCTTGATTTGTGGCAGTGATGTGAGATACTCAGCAATTATTTGAGTGCAGAAAAGGTCTGTTTGGTGCAGGGTGCCTTGTTCTTCTTTAACAGAGAATTTTAATTTTACTTTAATAGGAGTAATTGGAGCAGATGTGAAAGGACATAACCTTCCATGTGAGAACCAGCCCATTACATCCCGAGTGGCTATGATCTGTGGAACATCTTCATGCCACATGGGGGTAGGTTGTATGTGTCATCCTAATTTGTGCAGAATTTACTAACTTATGTTTTTGAAGGGAAAATTGACCTTTGTCCTTCTCACCCCGTTGTTTCTTCCTTGAATTTTTTTCTGGTAACTCTATCTTTTACCTTTGGATATTAATTATAAATTACTGTGCATTTGCTATTAAGCAAGAACTTTAATAGTAGTAGAAATCAATACTGAAAAATGACATGGAAAGTAAAAACCACGATGCCAGAGTGGCTTAAAGAGCAGCCTGAAATCTGAGCCAAAGCCTGAGCCTGAGTTATCTGTGACAAGCCTGTCACTAATGTGTTACAGAAGAGTGTCTTTGGAGAAGGAGTGCCCGTCTTCACTCACAGCTCTGCTCCCCCACCTTTTCCCTTAATCAATATAAATCCTTCTCCCTCTGAAAATTGCCATGGTGTGTAGAATTATGAGACATATCATGACTAAAAAGAAAGAAAACCCCCCAATAAGCAGTTTTCACTTTGCTAATTTTTCTCAGTGAATTAATACAAAAGCTTTCTCTGTGATTGCAATTAAAATTTAGTGTCTGCTTTGGAAATTTATACTGTTTTAAAATGTATGAGTCTGAGAGCATTCCATTTAGATAAGTACCCTTTTCTGCCACATTTTTTATTTAAAACTCATTTTGGTCTTAAATTTAGAATGATTAGAACTTGGATTTTTCCAAAAGGTGCAAATGGCACTGGGAGTGCTGGAGGTGTTAGAGAGGACTGACATGCCTCATGGAGAAAGCTCTAGGAGAGAAAAAGAAAGGAGACTGATAATAAAACATCAGGCTTAACAATAAGTTAAGTTGTCTCTGTAGTAACAGCATGAATCCATGGTGATCTTGAGCATGAATAAATGGTGATCTTGTCACATGGATTGTTGTTCAGCAAAGCATTTCAGCACATGATTGAATTTAAAGACGTGAATAATCCCACTGCTGTGAAGCAGAGCATTCAGCTTAAATCCCGTAGACCAACTGGAATATATTTTGGTTTCTTCCTAAACAAAAGTTTCAAGCTTCAAACTCCATCACTCTTGGCTTGCTTTGTCTTTGAAAAATTCCACTAGTACTTGTCTGTCTGTCATAGGGCAGGTGGGGCACCCTCGGGGAAGTAGTCACCCTTCAAGCCCTGCCACTGCTTTCATTATTTCCAGGTTTTTTGATGGAGGTTTCTGCCCTTTCAGTAGAAGCTGTTTGAGTGAACTCTTCCTAACCTGTTTCATTTAGCTGAGTTAGTTTAAATTGTTAAAAGGAGTTCATAGAGACATAGTCCTGGACTGCAGTGAGCTGTGGAGCTCGCAGGCAGCTTCCCCCAAAGGTCTAAGGGCAATGTTGGGTAGCTGGCAATGGGCCAGCTGGCTCTGGCTCATTCCTTTAGTACAACCAGCCCTGGAGGAGGACATGTGTGTGGTTATTTATTAATTTTTGATATTTGTACACTGGTAAGTTCTAACATACACCCAGTTCACAACAGCAGATTGTCTGACTTCCCAAACTAGAGCACAGCACATCAATATAAACACGTTTTGTGTGCACTCTGCACAACCATGAGAGTTGTGGTTCCATTAAATATGCTAATGTAGCAAAAGGGATGTGATAAAATCCATGTTGAAGTTCTGTCATCAAAGCGACCCCAAAGCTGAACACAGACTGCACGAGGCAGAAGCTTTTAAGGCTTTTAATCACTTCAGTTCAAACTCAGGAATAGGTGCTGGTACAGTTTTTGCTAGATTTAAGTAGATTTTTACTTAAATCTACCTACTCAGCATTTTATAATCATTTCCTTAACTGCCTGCCTTCACTCATCTGCACAGGGAGGGGTATAACAATCTCTAGCCAGCAGACAAAAAGAAAATTCTAAACTTCTCTGGATCTAATCTATGAAAGGATTTTAGTTTTCTGTTCTTTTATCTATTACCTGCACAGGCTGCATGAAGTGAACGTGGAGCACACAGAACAGTTGTATTTGTGTTTTAATGAGACCTATATGCAGCTGCATTTGGCCAAAATTAGCTGTTCCTTTTTTTAATTAGGGCTATAAAATGAAAGTATATTATACTTGTGTTTTGATAGAAATATATATTTTCTCTCTCTCTGTGCACCAAGGGACCCTGAGGGCTACAGAGATTAATCATCGAGTTTAATTTAATGCAGTGGGAGAGAGACCTGTGTGGTCAGGCGGGCATTAAAAAGTGCCTTTGATGTGCCTCAGGTGCACTGAGCCCCAGTGAGCCAGCAACAATAATACCTTTGTGAGATGATCAGAGACGAGAGAGGGAGAAAATGGCCTGTGTGGAAACTCAAGGCCGTCCTTTGTTGTGGTTCTGGCAAACGAAGGAGCCAACTGTCAGGAGAAATTCAGCAAACAGAAAGCAGGGGGAAAGTACGGCTGGGTTTCTTTCAAGGGGCCGTAACAGGAAACTGTTCAAAATCATCTGCAATGCCTTTCTTTTCCACCCCTTCCTCCTCCTCTGGTCAGGGCAGGGGGACTGCTCTTGGTATCTGTGTGTTGGTACAGTGGTTCATTCTCTGGACCGAGTATTCCATGAGTCACAGGAGCAGGTAATGCTTGAGCACAGCATTTACTTTAAATTTTCAGAGAAACTGCTCCTCGACCCAGTTTTCATTACCTCCAGGACTCTAGAGATCTTAAACAAAAGACTTTGCTAATCATGCCTTTGATATTTTAGAAAGTACAAATGTGGAACCTAATTTTACTCATGGCTATAATAGTTTAATTTGTGGTGGAACTGCCATTTTTAAGTGAGGATATGCTTTTGGAATTAACCACGGATTGTTTGGGGTAATCAGACGCACACAAAGAATTTTGTGTTTCTGTTGAATAGCTCATGAAAGCAGCAAAATGCATGTTTTAATTAGGTTATTGACCCCAGCCCAGGTCTGAGCTGTTGGTTGCTGAAAGTCACTGCCACCTCAGGGCTCATCCATTATCCATGAGGAAAAAGAAAAGAAAAGATGGTTTTCTGAATATTTTTGGACAGTTATGCATTTTACATGATTCTCTGCTGCCTCCTTTGCCCTAGCAAAAGACATGGGTAGAATTTGCATTTGGAATGGCAAATAAGCTGCTCTTTCACTTGTGAAGGACTGTCCCTTGTTTTGGGGCTGGAATTCAGCCCTGCAGGTTTGATCTCTGTGCCCAAGGTATTCCCTGACATTCCTGGGTGGGCTGCCACTGCCTGGCTTTGCAGCCAGGGGCTCTGAGCTCCAGCACCCACACTTGGCTTTGGAACTTTTAGGAGCCTTTCCCTGTGTAGCCATGGCGACTACACAAAATGTGTGAGTAGTTTTTCCCAGCAAAATCACAGCAGGTTTCAGGCACTGAAACAGGAGCTTGCCTGTTATTCCTAACTTGTAGTTTGCATGGGTCTAACAGACATGCCTTAACTTCTGGGAATAAGGTAGTTGGTTTCCCTAAAAGCCTATCTTCCTGCCAGTGTCTTAGGGTTTTATGGGGTATTTTAAAGGCTTCAAAAATCCTTTTTTTTTCTGAAACCTTTATGTGATCAGGATGTTTTCAGGCACAGATTTCTGTATTCCCATTCCAGTCCTGGACACAAGCGTGCTTTTGCAGGGCAAAGTTTTCATGACAATATTTGTTGTTCTTGCTCCAACACCTTTTGCGATTCCCAGCTGAAGAAAGTAGGCAGGGCAGCTTCCAACGGGAACATGGTCTGGCCTAATTTTAGCTTATTAAGGGAGGGAGTCTGAATTTGCTGGTATTTTGAGTCCCAAATGCACAAGGTTTGTGTTTTGTTCTCTCCAGTCTCTTATATTTTTTTGTCTTCGCATCTTTGTTGATATGGTCTGTATTCTTCTTCAGTCATTCCTTCTTTATCAGTTCTCTGTACTTAACACCTCTTTTTGAGGATTGTCAAAGAAACTCTTCAAGTTTAGATGCAATCTCTTCTTTTGCATCTGTTTTTGTTACTCGTGTGACTTTTGGCATTGGGAACGAATTCACCGGGCTCGGTGCACCATTCTTTTTTCCCTGGGTGATAATGTGCATGTGGTTTGAACTGTATAATTTAGTAATTTTTTTTCAATTGGAGAGACATAAGTAATATATCTTCTACCTTTTCTGATTTAATACATGATCTAAAAGACAGAGCACCTACATGAACAGCAAAAATGATCTTCTCATTTTGTGTCCCAATGTTTACTATGGATTATTTCAGGAAGAATATTCCATACTTTCTCTCACTAAGCCTGACTAGCCTCTGAGTGTTTTCTGCTAAAGGAGCTCCAGCCCAATTTGCTTATTCTAAATTTGTTCATTTGATTCTCGTGATGACTGGCAAACACAATAGAGTTTCTTTGCTCCACAATATCCGCCCGAGCTGCCAGCTTTGTTCACACAAATAGAGTGTTAAGCACGTTTCCACCCCCAGAGCATGCACAGTACGTGTCCTTTGCAGTACATCCTGGAGAGGAGACAGCAGAGACATGCTGGCTCAAAGTGTTCTCAGAGCCTGATCTCTAATCTCAGTGGGAGCCAGACCAGCAAGTGGATTCAGTATATTTTGGCTCTGATACCAGAGTCTCCTCTTCAGAACATGCCACGTTGTTAAAGCAGCAGCCTTTGGAGTAAGCGCTGCTCCGGGACTGCTGAGCTGCTCCAGGCCATGTGTGACGAGGGGAAAGCTCGCAGGGCTGGGCAGGCTGGTGCTGCTTTGGCAAAGCTCGGTGCGATGCAGCGACGGCAGCGCTGGGGCCCCGCTCGCTCCGGCAGCCCCGACTCGGAACGTGCGGTCCGGGGGGACGGGACAGCAGGGACAGCGACAGGGACAGCGATAGGGACAGCCCCGCCAGCTGGCTGCGACCCAGCTCAGCAGAGACGGCACTTTGTCCTTCTGACCAGGGGAAAGGCGCTGCCTGTGGGAGGCGAGCGGCAGAAGGCGGAGGAATGCAGGAGGGAAAAAAATAAAACCAGAAATGTACACCTAGTGAGGCTGGGG